TATTCACTATTTCTACTGGTCATAAGCAGACCAGTAGACTCAGCACTGACATCATTAACTCCCATTACATCAAATAGATTGGTACCACATGCCTTTTCCTCATTTTCATTAAATTAATTAACTAATTAATGTAAAATCAACAAACTTCGAAGTGAAATAAAATTACTTAATTTCCTAAATGATTTTTTTACTTATAAACATAATGCTTAATAACTAGGAATTTGGGGACACCTCGGTGGTCCAGTCAGTTAAAGCCTTTGACTCTTGATTTCAGTTCAGGTCACGATCTCACAGATCATGATTTGAGCCCTGCATAGAAATCACACTGACAGTGTATAGCCTTTTTGGGATTTTTCTCTATCCTTCTCTCTCTGCCCCACCTCTACTCAAGTGCATCTGCATGCTCTCTCAATGAATAAAAACTTTTTTAAAATGTAGGAATTTTGAACAATAGGGAAATGAACAGTGATTAGAAAAATTATGAACTTCCTCCTTAGCTAGTTTATATGTATAGGTATATATGTATATATATGTAGAAAAACATATGTATATACATGTTATATATGTTATGTTATATATGTTATATATGTTATATATGTAGAAAAACATATATGTTATATATACACATATATGTACATATATACATATGTACATATATATGTACATATATATAACATATATATGTTCTTAAATTTTCCCCTTTATTTCTACATATGTTTGTAAGCACATCTCTCTCTCTCTCTCTCTCTTTTTTTTTTTTTTTTTTATAAATCTGGGTTATTCTGGATATTCAATTTCTTTTGTATCCTATTGTTGTTGTTGATGATGATTTTTATGTTCTGCAGTATATCATACACATTACCACATTATCCTGAAACTCCATTAGTAGATATTTAATGGATTTTCACTATAAGAACATGTACGCATTTTTTTAATGGTTATTGCTGAACTTTGAAAAGGTCTATTTTTCTCTATGATGCACAACACTATAGCAAACAGTGCAGTGCAATCTATCTCAGTCTATAGATTTTAGAACATATCTCTGAATATTGACCAAATATTGATTCTTAAATAACATTTTCAAGGTCAAAAGTTTGAGATATTTTTAGGGCTGTTGGTGCGTATTATCAGACTGCTCTGCAAAATGGCTATACAATTTATAGTCACATAGCTTTTCTTTATCTTTATTATCAAGGGATCCTTGATACTGCGGATTGATAGTGACCGTGCAGTGTCTTACGGGACAGTGAGAATCACAAAGCAACTCCATATCTGGAATTTGAAGATTTGAGAGGAACTGATCAGATGTGGAGTTGAGGGTGTTTCTCAGGGTTGTTACAGAAGGAAATGACCCCTCAAGCACCATTTTGTCAGAAGTACTGACCTTTATCAGTACTAGCACAAATGCCCTTAACTCAAACATGAAATTTTCCAAAAAAAAACAAAACAAAACAAAACAAAAAACTTGAACATCCAAAATTTCCCTTATATCCCTCAAACCACACTTATCCATTTAAGTCAAATTCTGTGACAATGTAGCCAGTTAGGTTTTGAGGCTTCAGTAAAGGAAAGTGCGGATGTCTATGATTAGCTCTTGCAGAAAAGGAAAGTGAATGTGCAAGTTGACCTTTGAGGTCATTTGGTGCACACACCCTGTGGTCCCCTTCAGCTTCTGGACAGAACTGATGTGTCAGATCTGTTTTTCCACTAGGGATAGTACTACCCATGGGCTTCCCAAGGAGTGTGTGGGATTGACTCACTGGTTATCAAGGTTTGGAAGACAGGACCCGAAAGTGTGTGTAAATCACTGGCAGGAAGGTCGGCCCTGGATGGGTTCCAGAATGGCTATCCAAAGAGGCCTTGGGTTGCTCACAAAATGAGGCATCAAAATTAGCTTTCATCTTCACATGGTTTCTGGGTGATTGTGCAACAGACTCATAATCTGGTCACAGGAGCAAAATGAATGCCTATGTTGCAATAACAAAGAATTACACTGGGCTGGAGTGAAAGCTCGTGCTTTAAAACATCTATTTTCTCATAAATGAATAGGAAAGATGACTGGGCCCTCAGAAAAATATATGAGAGATGAGAGAGAAGGTAGTTTGCAACAACATTGTATATAGTGTCTTACAGTCTCCTCTGTTGTGGTAAGAGTCAATCTTCCCTGGTTGATAAAAATCCCAGAAGGGGATTAATGGCAGTTGAGTTCCATTTAGAGGATTTGCACTTAATCAACGTGAGTTCAGAGAAACCCTCTCTCTGCATTTGCTATTTTTTCTATATGTCTTTTGCTAAAAAATGTTTCAATTTTGGGGGTGACATATTACACTACCGTTATGACTAAATAACGTACTTTAACTTTGCATTCTGTATAAGCAGCCTCAGGATGTTTTATGTTTTATTTTGTACTATTTTGTTTTCCAAAATACTCTGTTCTTTCCAAGATATTAAATTGGCCTCATTTGTTTAGAAACAATAGAAAATTATTTTATATTGGTCTTGGAGAGTTAGATGCTTCTTTCAGGTAAATAACAGGTCTTTCTCCTGCTTTTAAAGGAAACAATATGTAACTCACAAGAATGTAGGCAGAGTCCAGTGACAATTAAGGAGGTAAGTGGCCCTATAGAAAGAAATTCAACACTTGTTGAGACTTTATCTGTCTTTCTACCATCCCCATCATATACATGTAATGCTTGCACACACAGCCCCAATGTTTTGTTGTCTTTTGAAAAAGTAAAGAATCTTTAAATTCTATCCATTGGAAGACTGATAATGTGCCTGCAATGGTTGAGAACTTTTGAGATTTAAAAATGAGGAAGACTGTGTCCTAGGAGTCCTTTGGTGAGCTTCTTCTTCCTTCTTCTAGTTTTGCATTATTTGTCCTAATGAATTAAAAATTTGCAGAAGTACAAGAGTGACCTTAGGCTCTTAAATAAATTCCCTTGGCCTCCAAGGGGGAAAACGGAGGGACAAGAATGTCATTACTAGGGAATTCTTCAATTTGAATAATCTCTCATTCTAATGGTGAATCTCAGATTCACTTTGTGCCTATGAAAAAGTTTCTGTCCAAACTTTTAATAGCATGGGTAAATTCCATTGGGAATTCATAAATACCCCTGGCCCTTTTGGAATATTCTCCTTCCCTTATTAAGAAATTTTTGTCTCCCCACCTAAAAGTTTGAAATGTTGCTTCTTCCACCCACTGTGGGCAAAGTGAATCTAATTCATCCACAGAAGGAAGAGTTAGAAGGCCTGTCTTCACTTCAGATGGCTCTTAGAACTCTGTACTTACCATTCTATTTTCTCCATCAAGCAAGTTGTGGAACTCCAAGTTACAGCCACCCAGACACATGTTCTCTTGTGATGTAGATAAAGGCTTCTAGCTGATGGGCTGGTCAATTGTCTAAACAACAGGCAAATGATTTCCTGTCCATTTCTCAAAATACATGTTAAGCAAAGGAAATGAAATAAACTGGTTTAATCACCAATTTCTACCTTCCTTCCCTCCTACAATCATTCTCCACCCCTACTTAATAGTAAAAGGCAAAAGATTTATGTGATCTGGAGAAACCACAATATCCACCCCTACTTAACAAATGTATGTCCAAAAGTCAGTATTTGGGGGAGAGGTTTACACTTCTTAGACGTGTGCATTGTATAGAGGAGATACTAGGTAATCTACCATCTTTAATTGTCACTTTTGTTCATATCTGCACTCTTCCTTAGAGGATGTAGGAATCTATTCAGGATTACAGTATTTAAAAAAGTATGTATATCATATATAATTATTAATTATATATTAATATATAAACTTCCCTCTTTTCCTGAGTATTAAATGATCAAAACCACACACTATATCGTTGAAAGCATTTGACACTGTTGAATCATAGTAATAAAAACCTGGAAATGACTCAAATAATTCACTGTAATTAAACTTCACAAATTTCACAGGTACTACTTGTATTGTTACCAGTTTAAAAAACAAAAGTCCAAGTTTTGTTCAAATTAATGAATTCCATTTTTGTAAAATAAGACTAATGGTAGGTGCATTTTACAAAAAGCAAATATTGAATTATAATTGAAAATGAAATGCTGACAATTAACACAAGTACCAAATTCTTTTATAAAGCAACTGTCAAAAATGCAATTTTCACCTGTTTTTCATGACAATGTTGCATCAATTCTATTGTGCCAATGTCAGTAACTGATTTAGTAAACCTAGTCCAATTTTACACCAGAAACTTTATTCTATAAATGCTGCCACCTTCTTCTTGATTATATAAAACAACTGTAATTATTTTCATTTTTTTTTCAACGTTTATTTATTTTTGGGATAGAGAGAGACAGAGCATAAACGGGGGAGGGGCAGAGAGAGAGGGAGACACAGAATCGGAAACAGGCTCCAGGCTCTGAGCCATCAGCCCAGAGCCCGACATGGGGCTCGAACTCATGGCCCGTGAGATTGTGACCTGAACTGAAGTCGGGCGCTTAATCGACTGCGCCACGCAGGCGCCCCACAAATGTAATTATTTTAATCAAAACCTTTAAGATTACAAATATATTCTTGATAAAACCTTGATACTGCTCATAGGAATTCAGTCAGCCTAAGAAAAATGATGTCTCAATTACCTTGTCTGGACAAGATGATCCCATTTTTATGTTGTAACAGGGTTATCCAAATCAGTACATATTTGTTATTTATTTTTCCCCAGTTAGACCAAGAGGGTGGCTCTCCTGTACAGATGTCAGGTGGAATAAGTCACTCTTTCCAAACAAATCACACCAACCACATTTCAAACTTTTTATTTGCATATTAAAAAATTGTGCATTCCAATAATTAAAATCATGTGAAGAAAAAACTGGCACTGTGATTAAACTACATTTCACAGCCTGCAGGTCACCTTGGACCAGCAATGGTCGTCTCTACCCATCTTCTTTCAAAAGCAAGTTTTCCTTTGCTGCCAGCCAGACAGGCAGAGATGAAAGGCTTGGCATTCCTAGTCAGTAGTTCTCGATTCTTTGATGTGAAAAGGGGGCAGCACAGTCATTTAAACTCGATCCAACCTCTTTGCATCTTACAAAGTTAAACAGCTAAAAGAAGTAAAATAAGAAGGCAATGCTTGTGGAATGTACAGTGCATATTGGCGGCGCACGCCTCATTACGATTCGCCTGCTTGCTTCTCCTGCTCAATCGCTGTGACAGGAAAGAAAAAAGAAAGAGAAGAGCTCATTAGGGGGACTCAGTGTAGCCTAGTGTCAGATGATTGCACTTTCTTTTACCGATCGCTTCCCATATCCCAAGTATCAAGCCGTTCCACCACGAAAACATATACATTAAAAAGACCATTTGAACAGATAAAATGGAATACATACTGCATCGTAATATATTGTAAACATCCCATTATTAAATTATTAAAGCCTTATTGGTTGGCTGCAAAACAATTTTTAATTAGCCTTTGCAGGCCACATTCATCATTAAGAGCTGTCAGCTCCTCCCCCGCACTCCCCCGCCCCCCCTCCCCATCCTCCCGCCCAGCCTTTTCTCAAGGTGGGGGTGGGGGGGGGGGGGGTAGGGGGGAGACTTACTTTCTTTTGAAGGCAGCGGATTTTTCTCTTGCGTTTCTGTCTTCTTCAATTTCGACTTATCGAATTTCTCAATCTCAGCCATATCGGGTTTGTCAGACATGGTTGCAGAGGAAGCTGCATATACAAAGCCAAGAGGGAGGGTGAGATCGCGCGAGGAGCGACCCACCCTTGTCTCTCCCGGCTCAGAAATGCGCTTTTGCCCTCACATCCCCTGCCTGAAACCCCACCTCTGTCTCCTTCCGCTTTCATTCAAGGCTAAAGCTTCCTCTTTCTATACAAAAAAGAACCCCCCCCCTTCATTATTTCCAAATGCCGGGGCCCAAACCGGCAAGATCGCTCCCCCATTGGGGGGGGCGAATCTTTCGGAATAATGAAATTGACCACGGCGGGTTGTGAATTGCAATGTGTAACCATTCAAGGCTGGTTAAAAGGGGAACACGATGAAGCCGTTTCAAGGGGGGATGGGATCGAGTAAAAATTCTTAAAATGAATCCCGGGCTGCACAGCGCTGCCATTTTCCATGCGCGCTCTGTCCGCCAAAGATGCGCGCCCGTGCTTTCTTCTCTGCTCACAAAGGCGGCAGCTGCGGCCGGCGCTCCGACCACCGCCCTACCGCTTCCTCGCTGGCGCTCAACAATGCCGCCGGCTGCACACAAAGCTGCCCCACACCCCATCGACCGGTGGTGATCGGCACGCAGGGGCCATTCGGCAGCCCCCGCAAGAAAGGCTGACCCCCCCCCCTTTTTTATTTCCATCTCACAGTGGAGCCCAGCCGCCTGAATCTGGACAGATAGGAGCCCAAGAAGCCCTCGGAGGCTACAAGAAAAAATGTAATTGTTGAAGCTCCGGGTTCGGGTGGGTGTGAGTTGGAAC